GCTTGGGAGTTGGTCGGTGTTAAAGTGATAATAACAAAGAAATTAGAAAATTTGATTAGTTTTGTCTTGGTTGTGTTGGGACTTGATTATTTCTTGATTAGGTTTGGGATTTGATTACTATTTGGTATAATTGGGTTTGGGATTTGATTATTATTCGGTTTTGTTGTTGTTTAGGATTTGATTATTTTGGGTTTTTGGTTTTAAGGGGACAATTGGGGGAAGGGGGGGGGTTGACGGGAAGGTTAACTTCAGTTATTTTTTATTTATTTATTTTTAAATTAATATATTTAGAAGATTTAGGGTTTTATTTTTATAAATTAAAAAATTGTTTTTTTTGCCACGGGAATTGCCACATATAATTGAAACCCACAATCCCTTGCCACATAAATTACACTTTCATACCGCGAGGGAGGGGGGATTATGGGTTTCAATTAATATATGTGTCAGCCACATCAACACTTAACGGATTAATGAATGGAAAATATAACAGAGGTATTATTTTGAAATAAAATAGTATTTAAGGTATGAAAGTGAAATGTTTTGAAGATGTTGTAAGAAATTGAAATAGACCCAAACCTGATGTATGAAAGTGTAATTTACCCTTTCATTTATTATTATTATTTTGAGAAAATTCAGGTTTTTAAAAAAAAAAAATTAAAAAATTTATTTTATTTGCCACGTGGCAGATGTTTGGCAGGCACGTCAGCATTTAACGGATCAATGAATGGAAATGTAACGGAGATATTATTTTGAAATAAAATAGTAGTTAAGGTATGAAAGTGAAATGTTTTAAAAATGTTGTAATAAATTGAAATAGACCCCAAACCTGAAGTATGAAAATGTAATTTACCCTAAAAAATTAAAAAAAAACTAATGAAAATAAGTTTTAACGAAAATGATAAAAAGATGTTGTAAGTGAATAGTATCAGGATTAATTTTTTATAGTAAAAATATAATTTTTCGTTAAAATAAACAGTATCAAAAATTTTTCGTTAAAGTTTAAAAAAAATATGGTACTACTTTAAAATTTTCTTTTAAATATATGCTTTAATTAAAATAAATATTTGTCCAAAACATTTTCTGTAAGGCATATTTCAATAAAATATACACACAAACGAAGCTGAGGTAAATCATCAAAGATTAGACAAAAAAAAAAACATAAAAAATGTAAAGTACGAAATTGCTCAGCACTTTCGTTGCAGAAGCCATGCGTGTTCAGACGGAATAAAAGGTTATAATATATCATTAGTGGAGGATCTTCGTCAGAAAAGTCAAAGATGAGTGAGAGACAAACAGTCACAAAAGTAAAATATGGTGCACATGCGATGAGGGCTTCTTTACGCGTTTTACGTACAAAGTTTGCGAATATTTTAAGTTAATTGACAACAATTTCTTTCGGTAAAGTCGACAAAGGGGCACATGGGATGGGCCCTCACTTCAAGTGCTTTACCTTTGAATACAAAATTACAAATTTTTTCAATTAGTTAATGAACAATTTCTTTTAAGAAATTTCTAAATACTTTCTATTGAGTATTTTTTTTAATTCCCAGAAAACATAAAAAACAAATAAATTTCAAACCACAAAATCACGGAAAGATGTCATTGAGAATCCTCATATTTAGGATTATGGCTTGCCTTCCATTGCGCTCAATGCCATTAAGATGTTTTTATTTTTAAAAAATATCTTCTAAAAAAAATCATGGAGGGTTAAGAATATAGATCTTCACTATTAGAGATTATTTAAGATTTGGAATTATCTTTTTAACCACATGTGACAAATCAACATATTGAGTTATTAATAGGTAACTATTAAGTGTCCAAGATCTATTTAGTTTGATTTTACCATTACACAATCATTACCACTAGCATGCAATTTAATCTCAACAAGGGCTAACCTACACAAACAATTCACCGTAGCATCTAGGTGGTGCACTTATTAGTGCATCAATAGTTTAGAATGTCAAGGTGGCATAAGTAAGATAAAACCAATTTGAAGCTTATGAATTTTTAAATCAACAAGCCCGCAATCTATGAATAGAAGGATTCGGCTAAAACATTATGAATTGTTTGTAGGAACTATAAAAGGTTAGTCATCAACAAGGATCACAAACAACATATCTTAAATATAACATTACAAGAGTTGGCATTAAAAAGAGATCGACCACACCTGAGAACTCATCTGCCCAGCAACAAAGACAGCAGAGACAGCAACTGAAAGACCTGGTGCAGGCTGTGTTTACTGGTAACACATAAGAATTCTTCTACTCACTCAAGACCTTATGTTCCAATGGTGATAGAACCCTGATTCCAGAACATGTTCTTTGTGAGCAGGGAATCCTTTATTAATCGAACTGAACTTCTCCAACTTCCATCTATCAAGAGGATTGGATAGTAACTGCTATGAACTGCAGCAATCAGTTTCTTTTGACGTGGAGCAATGCAAGCATCCTTATCATGTCCCATATCCCTTAATTCTAGGAGATCAGTTATTGACATGGCCATGACTCATAATTGGTAAGGCTTAGCACTCCCCCCCCCCCTCTTATCTTAGTGTAGATAATCTCATTGTTAAAAAAAAAAGGGGATGGTGGCTAATCACTCAATCATAGGCTTGATTTCCGGTGACAGGAGGCGCAGCTACACCTCCTTGCGTCTCTGTAGCCTCGTCGGTGCTTCTCGGCAGCCAAAAACATAATAAATTTCAAAGTACGACGTGTCAAGCAAGCCACTCAATGTTCAAACATTATCTATGCATCATGCCAAACTAAAGACAAAATAAAATCACAAAGTGTCAAGCAAGCTCCTCAATGGTTCAAACAATGCCCATAAACATGCCAAACCAAGAATGAGGCATGATAAATTACAACATACCATTGAAGCCGAAAAATGAACCCAACGAAATAGATTGTGCCATACTATCCTATCCAAGCAAATCACCAAGTATAAGAACACTCCTAACCTACCACAACAACTATCACTGTTATTAAACACCATTTTCCAATTCAGATGACGACTAAAATAAGAGATACAAATACAAGTTCGTGATTCGTAAATGTCAAGTCAATGCACATGCTTAAATGTTAAGTTTCCAACTACCAAAATCATGAACGAAAGTAGAAAATGGGGCACATGATATGGGGCCTCCCTTTAATTACGCGCTTTTCGTACAAGTGAATTTTCTTAGTTAGTCGGTCACCAATTTCTCTCCAAAAATTTCGAAGCGCTTTTGATTGAATACCTTTTTATAATTTTTAAAGAAAAAAAAAAGTGGATTTCACATTACAAAATCATAGAGGGTTAAGAATATAGTAGTTCACTACTTGATAAAAGTTAAACTGCTTATCTTACCGACACCATTCACTCATCTATCCATTTTGTTCGTTCATGATTATGTTAATTTTTTTTTCCAGGTTAAATGTGTTTTATTCATGTGGTTAAAACTGATGTATTCAAGTTCCGCAGCAATGCGCAGACATTTTTACTAGTAATTCCTAAAAAAATAAAAACAAGTGAATTTCACACCACAAAATCATATAGGGCTAGAAATATAGTTCTTCACTATTAGAAATTATCATTTGTAATTGTCTTTTTAAGCTCAAGTGACAAATTAACCTATTAGATTATTAATGGGTAACAATTAAGAGTCTAATACTTATTTAGTTTCATTTCACCATAATAAGGTATACACGATCATCACTACTACCAATCTTATCTTCGTATTATGGTGAATTCAAACATTATATTAAAGTTAAATTAAACTAAACTGATCTTAAGAATTACCCATTAACAGTTGATTTGCCATGTCTATTTTCTAGGCTATCAAGAGATTACAACAGAGTTCAGAATTCTACCTAAAATTATGTGCCTTGGCCCAAGTTAGAGATCATGATACACTCCATCTCTCTCTTTAGGCACTAAACTAAGCAAAGACAGAGGTAGAAATTGGGAAGCAAGGGAGGGGAGATTAGTTTCCGAGACTAGATCAGATTTAAGTTCTGCAATTGTATTATTTGACTTGACTTGACAACTTGCACAAAGTTAATGAAAATTTTATGGTGCTCCGAGTACGAAGCCTCCAAGAAAATATCCAAAGAGATGATGAAAAAAATGAAATAAAATGAATAAGAAAGACAAATTAAGGGCACATCATCATCATCATTTCATACCCTTTATTTAAATAAATAAACAAGCACCAAACCCCACGTGGACTTTAAAACTTTGTTAAATGTGCAGGACATGTTAAAATTTATTTACATCTTTATGTTCAATAAGAAACAAATGATACGTGTCATAGAGTATATTAAGCCGTTTGTATAACAATACAAATAAAAATATCTTGTTTTCTACATCCAACTTTTCACATTATTATTTCGTACTTCACTCTTCTTTCTTCTTTGTTGCGAAAAAGATAATTTTCTTGTTCCCATGCATAGAATTTTTAGACATGGATCAAAACTAAAATGCAATATAGAACTACTTTTCACTTGCTTATGGATTGGGTTACACTCTTAAGCTTGAGAAAAGCATTACATGAGCTGAAAAAAACATAGTTAAGAAAAGAAAGAAGCTAGGTACTTTTCTTTCGTTACTGGTTGTGTACTTACTCAGAATACCAATTGAATGAAAATGTATTAAATTCATGAATTGTATGACAAGAAACAACAAATGCAAAGATTATTTTTCTTAAGAAATATAAATATAAATTATAATTTTCTTATGTAACTTATATTAACAGTGGGACGTAAGGAACACTAACAATTGAAAATATACGTGGCGGGTGAGTCTTGCTGGACTTGCATTTGGAGCGAGTCCGGCTAGCATTCTCCCTTGGAATCGTCCTCCCAACAAGGCCATCATCAGATCCAATCATCACCCTTCATTTTTGGTTGGGCTCAATTTTCATCATTGACAACTAGTTGGGTAATACATAATGGGCCGGGCTCATTAGAGCGAGTGGCAGTTTTGAAATATCACAACAATACAGTACCATTTTTGTCACAAAGAATCAGAAGGAAAAATCGATTAACGACCATCGTTTTTTCCCCTCAAACTATTGGCATCTCTCAGTGTCTCCGTCTGTCTTCTGATTATCCTCCTAATCGAAGAAGAAGGGCAACCAAATCCTCGCTGTACGTCGACGTTTTCTAAGGCATCGAAATCTTGGTCCTCCGAATTCGTGGTTTTTCGACTCTTCTCGGCGCTCCTCTCGATTGATTCCGAGGTCTAATCTTCGGCGAATCACAATCCGACGGTGGCGATAGCGTCGGCGCAGAACCAATCGGCGAATGTGGATCTCTTCGATGCGTATTCCGACGAACCGGTTTGGACCGGCCGGATTAGTGGCAATGAAGCCGTCGCTTTCTTCCAGGGCTCCGGTCTCCCCAAACATGTCCTTGCGCAGGTACTCTCTCTCTCTCTCTCTCTATGTATGTGCTTGTAGATATATGTATAATTGGATGAGTATTGTAGTGTGTATGAGTATATTTGTGTAATTATAGTGGTTGATCGGGATTTGATGCTGGTGGAAATGTGTTCCAAATCAACTGATTTTGAATTTGTAGTCTAATTGTAGTTGAAGTAGTTAATGCGAGCTCGGGATGTCGTAATTCTCTGATCTAAGCTGAGATTTTTATTTCGTGTTGGTATAATTATAAATGTGGAATTGATGTTAAAATGGTAGAAAATAAGTAGATGAAGGACATATACCACAGATAGTGAGGTTAAGCGAGTTATGTTATCAGGTCATTAATTTACTTCTGGTGTGTCCGTTCAACCTTATGTGGTAAGCAGACTTTAGAAATGTGTTATATGACCCAAGAATTGACCTAGGATTGGTTATTACATTACAATAATGTAGTTGTAATGTAACTGAACTGATGCATCTTTGCAAAACTTGTACTATCCCTATCCCGGAGTTGAAGTTGTTTATTCTTCGTCTTCTGGTTGGTGGATGATTGACAATGTTTAGTTTGTGGCATTTAGCTTGAATTCCTGAACATAGCAGGCTAGATCAAGCATATTTTTCGGTGAGATGCTTTGCTGCTGGATTATCATTCTTTGCATGATGTTTTTGTATTTTGATGTAAAAACTTACTTGATGCCAAAAATATTTTGTAGATATAAAATTTTATTTGTAATTGGGAGTATTTTTTTGCCGGCCAATTGACATACAGTCATCCATAAATACTATTAAATTGAGTCATGTCTGAATGTGCAGTCCAGATTGATAGAATTACTACCCATCATGCCACATGATCTTTGATGGAGCGGTTTTGGGAGGGACGCCCTCTTCCAGCAGTGCTACCAAGCAATGTTATGTTTGATTTATCCAATATTTTTCAACCTGCAAATAATCACTCCAATGCTGGCAATGTAGCCTGGAGACCTGCTTCTGGTAGTCATCCATAAAACAATTCACTTTTATTTTTTGAAACCATGTCTTTCTTTGATGGAGAATAGTTTCTTATTTTTCACTTTAAAAGGCTTTCAACAACAGCAACTGATGCCTGGTCCTGGTGCTTGGCACGGCAACCCCAGCTGGAGGAAGGCCACCGAAGCCAGTTGCTCCTTCTCATGCTGAGGAAAATCAGCAGGCCAATCAGCAGGAACCTAGAGTACCAGAATTGGAGAAACATCTTGTAAATCAATTGAGTACAGAGTAGGTTAACTCACTGAACTCAAAGTTCAAAGAAGCAACCGAAGCTGATAAAAAAGGTACTTAGAACTTTTTTGTATCCCCAATTTTTTCAGCTTGAGCAGCAAAGTTATGTGTGCATGTTTCTTCCTGATAAGCATCAAATCATAACAAATATCCCAAAGACTTGGAATTCTTGTGGTTGGGGGTTTTACCTTGTTCTTAATATCGCTCATTTCTGTGGAGAAGATTTTGATCAAGTTTAAGTAGGGAGACTGTTCGGGTTTTGAAGCTCACGATCAGTTCTTTTATATTAGTAATCTTAATGATTGGCACTTCATATGTTTTTAGTGCATGGCAGTCATTATACTTTCTTTGTGATTGTGGGGGACAACTTAAACGAAGAGATTGCTTTTTGTTGAGGAGATTGGGTAGGCAATTAAAGCATTCCTTCATATGCACCATAATGGTGATGAAATAAAGATCCAAATTTGGTTGAACGGGAACTGGGGCATGGGAAGAATTTACCTTGTGTATGAATTTATACCACTTTTTTAGAAGATAACTAGAAAATGAGCCTGTGCGGTGCTACTGGGTCTTAAAATGTCAATCCACATACGAAGAGTTGAAGAACTAACAATTGCAGCAACATTGGGTTTTGCAGTGCCAAATTCGATTAAGTAATACTCCTGAAATTATACATGATTGGCATCTTACATCATATATACTAATTCTATTTACATCCTTGGTTTCATGAAAGGGAGTTGTTAGTGATACTGTAAAAAAGTTATTGCATTGTCAGCTGAATACGTATTTAAAACAAAGCAAAGTGAAAAGACACAGTTTAATAGTCCCATGAATTAAAAAAAATCAGAAATGTGAGTTCTAATTGAATTCATTCACAAACAATTACTAAATTAATTTGAAAATTAAAATGGGTGTATCCACAAATTGACCATCCTAAATCTCCGGCTTAATTCTGTGAGCCATGTTGTTCTGTGAGCCACATTGTTTGATATCTGTAGTCCATTGTCATTCAGCTTGACACATGCTTGAGCAGGGGACTCCATGAAAGCTACAATTTCCATAAAATGTAATTATTACTAATTATAAGTAATGTAATCAAACATACATAAAATGGTACGATCTAGTTTTATTCCTTTCCACAAAGCTCTCATGTTCGACTCTTATGAAATGCTGAGTTCGATACAAATTATTAATGATAGAAATACTCTAGCATCTTTTGAGTTTAAGTAATACTACTTAAACATGTTAACACACCCATAAGCTGACTAATTCTAATTAGTATTTGATGCAATTTCTATATATTAATAAGAAGAAGAACCAACAGAGTGAGTAATAACAAATTCTTAGTAAAAGAATTAGCCAATTCTAATTAACAACTACTAATCAAACTGCAAAAGGAACATATGAGTTTTTCTGGCTTCAAAGTTCAAACATAGAACCAACAGAGTCAAAGGCCTTTATATGCATTATGAGAAAAAACTTGTACGGTATCAGAAATCATAACTTAAAGCTAAACTAAAAAAAGTAAGAGACGCACATTTGATGTTCTTTATGTCCATCTGAGAGATTGGCAAGTAAATTTTGTGAAGAAACACCTGCTGGTTTGTCCAACCTGAGAAGATATTAAGTTCTCATTGAAGATTCATTGCTTGAGTGGTTTATTTATTTAATTGATATCTATTTTTTTTAAGAAAATGATACTGCCATAAAAATAAAAATAAAAGAAATAGATAACAGCGCAATCAAATCAAATTTTTATGTCCTATACAGTCTGGTAGAAGGTGCCTGAGTCAAAACAAAATGGATATTTGCAGACATGCTTCCTCTAAGGACACAACGATTTCCAACTTTAGTAGAATCACATCCAACTCTATCAATTACTTCTAAAATAGTAAAAAAACCATGAAATTGTGCAGTCACTAAAGACCTAAATACTGAAATCACAGAAGAAAAACAACCCAATTCATAAATTAATGAATGAAAGGAGTATAAAGTTCAATCATAAACTAAGAAGAGTGAGAAAAAATGTAGAAAGTATTCTCATAAGAAAATTTGTATAAATTAATAATTTAGTCCTTCTCAGGCTTAAAAATACCATGTACTACACACATTAATGTAATCAATCGCTCAGATAATTCAGGAGGCGAAAACCAAAAGCCAATTTTTTTTCATTTCATGCCTTGAAAACAGACTCTTCAGTCTATACTGTCCAAAAGGATATAATACTACCTGAGGACTCTCAGATCACATTAAAGTGTATCCCAAGTGTGAAGGCTGTCAGCGAAATTGAACTTCTTGGTTAAGAGGAGGGCGATCCACTTAAATGCATAAAATTGGGGATTGACCTGTCATTTAAAATAGGAGCCCAGTCAGTACTGTATAAAGAATTCTAGCGACCTAAATATGATATTCTCGAATAACCATGAAAACCTTAATGTGATGAATATTTAAGCAGCATTTTACTATTTATATTGCTGTCAACAGGTGACACATAATAATTCTCTCAGCCGTCTTTGTACTACGTTGCATTTTGTAATCTGAAATTTTATTTTATTTTCATATAGGCTGGCAACCTGGCATCCAAGAAGGAGCTGCTGACTGTGATGAGGATTGGGATAAATTTGAAGACAAAGGTATATGCCAAAAATGAGTTATCATAGGTCCAGTATTGTCTCTGAGATAATAAATTTCTTGTAGCTCTTAGATTCCTTTTACCTTTTCACCATGGATCATGTTGCCTGCTTTTTGTAGTTTTTGTCGTCTGGTTGTGGTTTGCCAACCTGTTTAGGAGTTTTAACTATTCGAGGTGATTGATTCAGAAGTTTAATTGTCAGGATTCACTTGTGTCAAGGAGCTCACTCTTGACGTGTCAAATGTCTTGGCACCTCCAAAACAGAAATCATCAGTTCAGAAAGAAAAAGCTTCCCAAGTTGAGAGTCCAACAACTGCTTCTTCACCTAAAGTTGATGTAAAGTCAGAAAAGCCTCAAAGTACAGATGCCAAGGTTGTTGAAAATGGAGCAGCATATGATAAAAATGAGGATGAGTCAGCAAAAAGTGCTCCGAACAATCCATTTGCCAGCAGTACTGTTGGAAGCCCATCTAGAGAATTTTCAGATTCTAACTATGGAAAGACAACAGACGCAGATGCCTCACCCCGGTATAGTTCTAGATCTGTAGTTTTCTACATATTTAAGGTCACCCTGATACGTGCAAAATTGTTGATAGTCTAAACTTTCATGTGCAGTGATGATCATGCTGGTGCTGGGTCTATGTTTTCTGGCGACATTTAAAGGTTCCGAAGAACCAGCATGGGGGATATTTGACACTAATGATGACGTTGACTCGGTGTGGGGTTTCAATGCAGTTAGTACCACCAAGGTAAGCCGATATTGTACATTCAGTAATTTTTTAATTTTTTTTGTATTTTAGAGTGCATTCAGTATTTTTTTATTAGAACTCAATTCTTTGACTTTGTGTTTATGCTGACTGGATCTTGCTCCATGATTGCTGTTAATACGACCTAGTTGTTTGTGGTGGTGACCACTTATCCTTGTTTTAAGAGTTTGCCTCAAGTGTCCTAATGCTTGCTGAGTTGTTTAGTTATTGAAGATGGTTCTGGGAATTTTAACATTGTTTGAATAGTTTCTATCTTCACCATTCTGATGGTTTCATCATGCAAATCAGTTAGTAGTACGGGTCTTTCAACCAAGTATGGCAAAACCGAGTTTCCTGATTTTAGTTTTGGTTCACTGTAGATATAAAAAGAAGGGGTTGCGGGTCACTCTGATTTAAGCCTTAGGTCTTGGTTAATCTTAGTCAAGATCCATTTTGTGTTGACAACTTGACATTGACAAGACATGGTGCCATATTGCTCACACTTTTCGAATATTGACGGTTTCCAGGTTAACAATGTATTAATCATTGTTAAAAATAGCGACTGGAAAAAAGAAAGTTAAATTTCAGGTTAAAAAACTAGCATTCATTGTCATGTTGGAAACACTTCTTGTTAGCATTTTGTAGCCGATGGTAAGTTTCCATTATTTTGCACCTTCCAAGTAGGCATGGATTCTAGGTTCCAGTGAATCCGCTTTCTTTTCTAATAGCATGTCGGTTATGTAGCACTTTCAAGCTTTTTGTTTTTGTGGTTTTATATTTGTTGTTATTGCTGGCATGCTGGATTGTGCTGTAACTGCTCTTAATCATGTGATGTAGGATATGGATCAGGAGAGTAATAAGGATCACTACTTTTCTGGCCCTGGGGAGTTCGGCCTCAACCCTATCAGGACTGGGTCATCACAAGGAGAGACTCGGACCCATTTGGGTCTTCAGGGCCTTTCCGAATGTCATTGGAGACTCCGAGGAAAGACTCTGATCATTGGAGTGCATTTTAGTCAGCTAGTTGCTCTGCTTCGTTTTTGTGTCTGCTATTCTCGGTTCCAAGCCTTTCTATCATGAGTGTTACGGGCCGTGGCCATGTTTTATGCTTATAATATGTCTTTTGTATTTCATTTATTTGTGTATGCATCTCACTTCGTCTTCATTCTTTTTCCTTTAGCTTATAAGCTTTCTTCGTAATTTTGGAATGTTCCTAGTTCTATTGAAGCGAAGACCCCAATAGTTTTATCGCTGTTACAAATTTGATGATTGTACTATTAAACTGGGGCTGTGCCTTTCTTTTTATTTTTATTTTTTTTGCCTTAATTTGCTGTAATTTTTTATCCCCCCTTAATAAAATTTGTTCTGATCTTTCTTTTGTTCAAACAAGAACACTGTTTTGCCGGTGTTAGTCCAATCGGCCCTAGGCCTGTTGTGTTAATTAATGTCCACGTCTATGATACAAAGGCGAATTTCAACATGCCGTTGGACTTGATGAAAGATGAGAAATATGATATTACACACTTGTCCATAACATTGCGCTTTATAATGTAAAAACAATACTAAAACAATAAGAGTATTATAGACTGGTAATCAACCTAGTTTTAATTCCAATTGAAGTGAATTAGTAAACAACTTATAGTTATATGGACTCAACATCATCCCTACTCCGATTTCAGACAATGTTAGTAAACAACTTTAACAGGAATCTAATTCTGATTCCACCTCATTTCAATCCCTCCTCAATCCAATTCCTTCTCATTGGTAAGAGCCTTGCCTATTTGTTAGTCTTATTTCTTGAACTTGCCACTCTCTTCAGCGCCGTGCAGCCTTCAGCTTCAACATTACATTAAGATTGAAGCTGCTTGATTGAACTTGTCATTCTTCTGAAGGCGATAGAAATCTCTTATATCCAAGTAAGAAATGTTTTCGTTAGACCACACTGATTCAGGCAACTCCTCTATACCACTGAAATGTAAATCCAAGTAAGAAATATTTTCGTTAGACCACACTGATTCAGGCAACTCCTTTATACCACTGAAATGTAAATCCAAGTATTCAATATTTCCTGGCATCTCTGGAAGATACTTGAGATTCATGCAGCATGCAAGATCAAGATGAGTAAGCTTGTGGAGATGTTGTGATTCAGGCAACTCCTTTATACCAGCGTAATGTAAATCCAAGTATTTAATATTTCTTGGCATCTTTGGAAGATACTTGAGACTGGTGCAGAATCTAAGATGAAGTTGAGTAAGCTTGTCAAGATGTTGAAAACACCCAGGAATTTCAACCAAACTTTCACAGCCAGAGAGATTTATGTTCACAATGTTTAGACTCCCAGAGAGATTTGGAACTTCAGTTAGATTTGTAGAGCCATGCAGATCGATCACTTGTAAGTTCACAAGTCTCTGTATCAAGAGTAAATAGAAATATAAAGAATTAATATAATTTCTACACTTGATTTTATACAAGAATTAAAATAGGCTATAATATAATATACCTTCTCTTCTTTCCAAAGCTTCTTAACTTTGCTATTGGGCATATGAAGCTCAACTAGATTTTCCGAAGAAAAATTTGACGGCAAATATTCCAGTGGATATCCCCACCACTCAAGATAACGAAGAGAATTGGGAAGGTCTATAAAAGCATTGAATTTGTTGCCACCATACACAACTAGCAATCTTAGGTTAGACATCACTTTGAAGTCTACACGTTTCAATGGTCGCTCTGCAATGTTATACCAATCAAGGACTACGACTTCAACATTTGAAGTTTTCTGACATTAAGAAGAAAGTTTAAATGTGAATATATGTGTATGTTTTCAACATGTTAAAATGTAATGCGCACTTGGAAAAAGAATTCTACAATGTTATATAATAATTTAGAGTATTTGCGATGGTAATGATGTACAAGTGTCTAGTAAAATATCCAACATAATTGTATCCTCCTCTACTTGTCTTAAAAAACAAACACTCATATTCCAAAGACTTCCTAACACAATAAAAATTCAATCAAATCAAATTAAATTTTTTTTTTATTTTTTATTTTAGGAATCTGATTTCTTTTTATAAATGCAAAAACACTACTCTTACCATCTAATTATACCATCAATTGTACAGTCTCTATTAATCTCTAATAAAGACGAGACCCATATGTGTTTTTTCTACAAAAAGAAAAGAAAAAAAATTGAGTGCATTTGACTCTTACCGTGTTACTTTTCAATACATTATAAACATCCTCATCGTTGAACAACCTATTCCGCTTACCGAGATCTTCAATGCATTGTTCCTGAACAATTGTCCTTCCCATTTCTTCAAGCAGATCATGCATCTCGATGGTTTCCCATCGCCATCTTGAACCAATTGATATGAAAGACATATCGATGAGAATTCTAATTCCGACCGTCGTAGAGAATCCACGAACATCTAACAATTGTTTTACCTTATCCACACCTTGCCCTTTATGAAAACATGCTATATCCAAAAATATCTCCTTCTCATTTCTTCCCAATCCATCATAACTTAGTCTCAAGACTCTCTGGATATTTTCATTGGGAAATTGTTTCAATTTGTCCAATTCATCTTCCAGGTCTTCTTTGCTCTTGCAATTTAGGAATGAGGACCCCAGAAGTATAAGAGCTAAAGGAATGCCTCCGGCATAATGCATCGCCTTTTCTGCCAACCCCTTATAATCTGTTATACGAGAATTCTTGAAAGCACGCGAACAGAAGAGCTGAAAAGCGTCATCCGGTTTTAATCTCCCAACCTCGTAGATTTTATCCTCTTCAACAGTTTGCCTAAGTGTGCCTCTATTTCTACTTGTGATAATGATTCTACTTCCATTGCCAAACCGAAGACAATTGCCAACTAAACCTTCCATTTGCATTGAATCACTCACATCATCAAAAACAATGAGGACCTTTGTACGCCTAAGCCTATCTCGAACAAAAGTTAATCCTATGGATAGACCTTTTTCCTTTAATATCTGATTGAGAAGTGTATTTTGCAAATGTTGTAGCCCATCCTTTTGTTCTCTCTCCCTAACATTTCTAAGAAAACAACATGCTTCGAATTTAGACGAGTGTTTGTTAAACACGGCTTCAGCAAGGGTGGTCTTGCCCATACCACCCATTCCCCAAATACCAACACTAATGCAAGCGTCCTGTGAATGAATGTCTAATAGCGATTCAATTTGCTTGATGCGGCTTTCAATTCCAACCAGGCCCTCTAAATCGCATGATGATTCATGACACAATTTAGTCAAAATATCGTCTACAACTTTCTTAACCAAATCAGCATCCGTCCTGGCATATATATGTATAATTATGTAGGAAAGTAATAGTTAGTCTTAAATCTATATACCTTACAAAATCTTAGCACAAATAAAATCGACAAAAGTTTAAAGAAAATTTAAAATTTTATACAAGTTAAAGAATTAGTTAGTTACCCATAATTTTTTGAATCAAAGCCAGATGTATTTGCTGCATTTGTCAAAGCATCCCTCCACTTGCGCACCTTGCCGATACTGTTCTCGAAACCTTGTTCAAGTGGATCAAGTGCATAACTCCCCCGTTGTTTTCGTACATCCGATGGAAGGGTGTCGTAAAAAATGGGTATAACCAACTGGCCATATTTTTCCTTGCATTTTAGGATATGCACAAGCTCATCCAAACACCACGTGGAAGAAGCGTAGTTTTTTGAGAAAATGATCACCGAAAGCTGTGATTTTTCGATTGCTTTGAGAAGGGCAGGTGCGATTTCATCTCCTCTCTTAAGCTTGTCATCAACGTAGGTTGTGATTTTTTTCTCAAGTAAGGCAGCGTGAAGATGGCTGGTAAAAGTACGGCGGGTGTCCTCACCTCTGAAACTAATAAACACATCGTACTTTTTTGTAACAGCAGCATCAGCAGGAGCAGCAGCGGAAGAAGAAGACGAAGAAAAAGAAGCCATATTCATAACCTCTGGTTTTCAGATCCAGGGAGTTGTTGCAGAGAGATTACTTGTTAATTGGAGAGAGAGAAACTAGTTTGGAAATAAGGATACAAAAGAAAAATAAAACCTTTTCCGCATTTCAGAAGGAAGTTCGGAGCACGGGAGTGAGGGATGGGCCCCTCCCATTACGCGCTTTACGTAATTAGTTTTGAATTTTTCCAGTTACTTCGTTAGTGACCAAAATCTTTCAAGAAATTTCCATTACGCACTTTACGTAATTAGTTTTGAATTTTCCCAGTTATTTCGTTAGTGACCAAAATCTTTCAAGAAATTTCCAGGTTACGAGAAAAGCAAGTGGTGAATCATCTTTATGGTTAGATTATTTTTCTTTACTCTATTTGTCTCTAGTTCATATCTTTCATGTTCCTTTTAATATAAATTAGTATAGAATATTACTTGTAATTGAAAAAAAAAAAACTAGTTCTTTCTCCTTCAATTGATGTGTTTACACATTTTACTTACAAAGCTTTGAACTTTCTCTATTGGTGACCAATTTCTTTTAAGAAATTTCCGAGCACTTTCAATTGAGTGTCTTTTTATAATTCCTAAAACAATTAAAAAAAAAAAAACAAGTGAATTTCACACTACAAAATCATGGAGAGCTAAGAAGAATTGGATAATGGGGGCCGAGTGGTCCCTTATGTTATTTTTTTTTCATAAAGCAAAACGAGTCGTTCTATTTATGTTATATAAATTTTTTAGAACAAAACAATGTGGCCCTGATGTTATATATTTTTTCATAAAGCCATACAAGTGGTTCTACTTATGTTATATAAATTTGAACAAAACAACATCATTTAACTTATGTTAATTTTTTCTCAAGTCCAAAACGACATCGTTTTGCCTAAGGTGTTTTTTGAAAAAAGAAGAAAGAGCCATGAGTAGTGCATGCTTCGTTGCAGCAGAGAGTTAGGGGTGCTTGTTGCAGGTTTTCCGACGAACCCGAGGGGTGGCTAATCGCTTGACCATAGGCTCGATTTCTAACGACAGGAGGCGCGGGTATACCTCCTTGCGTCTTTGTAGCTTCGTCGATGCTTCATGACAAGCCAAAAACATAATGAATTTCAAACTACAATGTGTCAAGCAAGCCGCTCAATGGTTCAAACATTATCTATGCATCATGCCAATCCAAAGACAAAATAAAATCATAAAATTGTCAAGCAAGCTCCTCAACGGTTCAAACAATGCCCATAAGACATGCCAAGCTAAGAATGAGGCATGATAAATTACAACATACCATGCAAACCATTGAAGCCGAAAAATGAACCCAACCAAATAGATCGTGCCATCTTATCCTATCCAAGCAAATCACCAAGTACAAGAACACTTCTAACCTACCATAACAACTATCACTGTTATTAACAACCATTTTCCAAATCAGACGACGACTAAAATAAGAACTATAAATACAAGTTTGTGATGCGGTAAATGATAAGTCAATGCACATGCTTAGATGATTCTAGTTTTTTTTTATTTTATTATTTTTTATTTTAATTTAATTGATTATTTGAGCCATTTTGTTGTCATTGCATGGCCCAGATAATGGAATTGGCTCACTAACACTAGTCAAGAAGATCCCGAAGGGTTGCCTCGGAAAGGATCCAATTCCTAAAAAGAGGCACATGGGATGGGACCCTCCCTTCATGCGTTTTGCGTACACGGTTTTGAATTTTTCCAATTAATTAGTTAGTGACCAATTTTTTGCAAGAAATTTCTAAGCATTTTCGATTGAGGACATTTTTATAATAAAAAGAAAAAGTGAATTCACATTACAAAATTATGGAGGGCTAAGTATATAATTCATCAACGGAGATTGAATAAGATTTGATACATGTCTTTCTGAGCACAAATGGCAAATTAACTCAGCTATTAATGAAAAATCAGCAAGAGTCTCAGACTCATGCAGTTTGATATCACCATAAGGTATTACACAATCATTAAAACTATCAATCTTACCACCATGTTATGATAAAAATCAAACTAAAGGGATCTTACTAATTACTCATTAATAATTCAATGAGTTAGTTTACCACCTCTATTTTCAAAACTCTCAGAGGTCATAAAAAAGTTCAGAACTCCGCTTTGAAATTATGTGCTTTGGCCCAAGTAAGAGTCATGATCCGCCCATCTCTCTCTATCTATCTAGACACTAAACTAAGCAAATGACGGACGGAGGTAGAAATTGGGAAGCAGGCAAGGGAGGAGAGAGTAGTTGACCGCATAGACTAGATCAGATAAAGTTCACCAATTATACTAGTTGACCTGGCTTACACAAAGTTACAAAAGTTCTATATGCTGCCGACTATCCGACGGAGATGTCTAAATAAAAAAAGGTGAAATGAAATTACCCAACACAAGCGTCTTACCTTCCCCTTTTAAAAATTCAAGGTGTTCACATATGAAGAAAGACAAAATAAGGGAACATCACCATCAGTTCAAAATTTTAGTAAAGCTAACCAGTCACAAATCACAAGTCATCCCTTACGCGCTTTACGCATAATTTTTTATTTTTTTTTATTTTTTAATTCAAATTCAGCTTGATCAATAGAACATTCAATAAAATTTAATCTTGACAAAGACAACTGACCTACTCCTGGTGAGTCATCGTAGCACACAAGTTACATATTTATTCACTCGTTTATTATTAGTTTAAGATGTCACAGTAACATACTAAATATACATGACTCTTTAATTAAAGATAAAAGCAAATTAAAAAATTTGAAAATGAACAAGCGAACCCTGATATAGAAAACGCACACCTCCCAAATTGGCTTAGGTGAACTAGAGTTTAGCTTGATTACGAGAAAAACAAGTGGTGGATTGCCCTTATGGTTAAAAAAAATCTCTTCAACTCACTATGTTTTGAGTTCATACTCTCCCACAATGCCTTAGTATGATTAGTGTAAAGTATAATTTGTAATTAAAAAAAAAAAAAAAACAAAACTCTTTCGCATACAATTGATGTGTTCACTCGTTTTACATACAAAGTTTTGAACTTTCTCAATTTATTTTAAGAGATTTTCAAGCATTTTCAGCTGAATACCTTTTTATAATTCCTAGAAAAAAGAAAAACAAGTTAATTTCAAACTATAAAAATCTGCTTACACACTACAAAATCATAGAGGGTATGAATAGTCATTCACTACTAGAGATTGCCTAAGATTTGAAATCTGTCTCTCTAAGGCTATCAGTAGGCCGGGTCTTAAGAGAGCGCATAATTTAGCCTAAAACTAAGCAAGAAAAACAAGTGGTGGATTGCTCTTATGGTTAGAGCATTTCTCTTTAACTCACTATGTCTCAGTTCAAACCCTCTCGTGCGCCTTTCCTTAACGGAGGATAGTATAGAATATCGCTTGTAATTTTTTTTTTTTTTTTTTAAAGCAAGCTCTTTCTCATTCAATTGATGTATTTACACATTTTACGTACAAATTTTTTAACATTCCCAATTAGTGACCAATTTCTTTCAAAAAATTTCCAAGCATTTTCAATCGAGTACCTTTTCATAATTCCTAAAAAAATAAAAACAATTCACTTTAACACTACAAATTCATGGCCTTCACTATTGGAGATTGCTTAAGATTTGAAATCTATCTTTCCGAGGCTATCGGAATGTCATAAGAGAACCCACAACTTTACGTGAAAGTAAGCAAGAAAAACTTGTGCATAGATGGCTTATCATGTTATCCATACGAGAGTAACTTTCATGTTAACTTAGCAGTGATGACGTACTTTGAAAATGTATTTAGTATTTACTTCGATTATTAAAAAGGTTTTTTGCGTTCCTTATTATAGATATATGCATATAGGAAAGTATGGGTTTAGCATGAGATTTCCACGTGAGGTGCTTGTAAATCGTTAGTCATGCGGTTTGTATCTATCAACTGATCAAACTTTACCAGCTTGCCACCCAAACCAACCAATTAGAAACCAGCAGAATCTGCCGCAGAAGACGAAGAAGAAAATGTTAATGATCTGCAGCACATATGTACAACAAAGTCCCGATGGTAATGGCGATGATTATGATGTTGGAAACTTGAATGAACCCAATCAACTCCATCTCTCTGTCTCTTAAGATCAGATAGCAGACAAAGAATTTTAACTACAGTTGCATCTGAGACTAGATCAGATTTTAGTCTTTGTTAGGGGAAGGTAGATGCACAAAGTGACAAACGTCCAGGAAGGATAAAAATTGAAAATTTGGAGAGACAAGGATTTGTCACTTTCACTGTTTCACATACTTAAAAAATATTTGATAATTAATAATGCTACTACTTTTAAATTTTCTTTTAAATTTGCTTAATTAAGAGGAAAATTTGTCCATGGCATTTTTTGCAAGGCACCCTTCAATAAAATATACGCACAAACGACGAGAAAAATCACTAAAGATTAGATAAAAAAAAACATAAAAAATATATAGCTTTTTTATTAGTACCCCACTTAACGGTGAATACACCTCACATTAAAATTCAATATTAAATCACTTATATATATCTAATATGCAATGACAATTTTAACCTCATAAAGTTAAATAAAAAATCTAAATACACTCCAAATCACAACTTTAACATGTATATTCTACAATTATTTTTCTTCAACTATCAAAACCAATCTCATCCTCTATTGTAGTACAAAACCTAAATCAATAAAACTACAAAAACGTTGATCACAACTTTAAAGCCCAGGGATATTGATCAATAGCCTCCTAATTTTCATTCACTGTACCACTATAGCTTCATCTCTGTATGAAATCAACAAATCTGCCTTGTTATGACGATTTTCACAGAGAGGACTCAAAACTTGCGGATTCTAATTATGACGCTTCAAATTACACCCAAACAGGAAGGGAAGGAGAGGAGCGTCCAAGTCAAGCTACTCGCCTCTTTGGTTGTGATACCAAAAGCTCTCGCAGATGCACATATGATTGGTTGTTTTGTACATACAATGAAATTCTTCAATCCAATGATTCATGGAGGTAATCTATCAACCCCACATTCTTCTTCAACCCAGTTTCATTGAGTAAAAAATTTAAGAAAAAAATGTGGAGTGGAGTGTAGGTAAAAAACTATGGGGTGTATGTTGAGAGTGT